ACCCTCACAGCCCAGCCACCACCATCTAGCTGTGCCTGTTTATGAATCATTTCATATTGTCCCAGAAAGTTGAGAAAAGCAGAGAGTATTTTTCATTTTTATGTCCTCCCAAATTCCATGCAGTAAAATTCTTTCTATTGGAGAAAGCATCCACTCCCTAGTGGCAGAAAACAGGGTTGCATGGGACTCTGAAAATCTGGAGGGACCCAGCCACTACTGCAAATCTGAAAGGATGTAAAGGACACGCAATGAAATTGAAAGAGCAACATTGACAGCGATGATGATGATTATTGCTGGTGGCTGGGGGGTGAATACGGGGTGACGGAGGAATGCCCTTCCTTACAGACTATAAAACACGTATGCATTAAAGGTAAATCATTTCTTCCTCACTCTTTCTATACCATTCTTTGAAGTCATGCTTAAGTAAATGAGTCTTAGTCTTGTGATCTTATCAACCAATGTCACCATCTTCTGGCAAACCTACACTGATGCCTGGTACTGTTGTCTCAAACCCATCCACAGACTCAGCGGCAAACTTTGGTTTAAGGAAATAAACATGTTGTGCAGACCAAACAAATACAGGGAAGCCAGTCACAGGTCTGCTTTGCTTGAAAGAGATCCAGAGCAAATAGGCCCTGATTGGAATTGCTCTGAATAAATAAAAACATGGTTGAACTAATTTAACTCTTTTAGAGAAACTGTATATTTTATTACTCTCCAGGGTGATCAAATCAGATGGCACCATGGAAAAAAACACGGCAAGACAAATACCATTATATGGATTTTCCTCCCTGACTGATTCATGAAATGGTCAAAGCTTTTTTAAAAAAATATTTTCTAGATTTAGATTAGTGGTGGCATTTTGAATTGAGACCAAAATTCAGCAGCATTGGACTCAATTTGGCCATATGGTTATGTGTGCCTGACAGGAAAACAATGAGCTAAGTCCATTAAGGAACCATATAAAAAAGTTCTCACAGAATTTTCCATTCAGAGCCTTCTGTAGGGGGCAAAAAGCTACATACAGCAACTTATTCATGTAAAGCTATTTCCTCACCAGAGGGACTGGGAGAGATGAAGTTTCTTTCAACATAAAAGCAATGTGGTAGTTTTCTTGCTTTTATTAAATATCATGATTATTAATTAATTCATTTCAAAAAAAGGACAAGAGATGAAACCCTATATACTAATACAACAAAAGATCAAGTGCCTACCCATAAAAACTTCTGTGCTCTCCACAAAAGCGTGTTTTGGGGTTTTTTTTGTGTGTGTGTGTTTTTGTTTGTTTGTTCGTTTTTGTCTTTTTTGCAATTCTTTTAGAGAACTGCAATGTTATTTTCCCATTTTACTTGGAGATCACAGTTTCTCTCTAAATAATCCTTGATAGAAAAAGACCTATTTTTATGCTGTCTTCTGGCACTGTGGCATGTTATAGACCCAATCAAAGATTTGTCAAAGAAAAACAGTCTCCCTTTTGAAAGTGAATAAAATGTTCATTTACTTTGGTAAATCTCCTCTTTCAATCAGACCATCTGGATCTAAATTAAGGTACCCAACTTTGAACATGGGTATGCTCACCATCTGGCTACCCAAAAGCGGCAATTACTTCAGGTAAATGAACATTTTACCTAATTCTGAGCAAGTATATTCTACTATAGAATTCTATGGCATAAATACACACCCTTTTTATCTGCCTGTTACACACTCACTTGAGGAACAAGTGACTGTGTATTCTGCCTAATGGAGATAATTTACTGCTGTGTGTAAACATTTCAAATTTAAGAGAATTTATTTATTTATTTGCAATATTCAACAAGTGATACATTTTCCCTTTAGCCAAATGGCCAACAGAAACGAGAGGATTTGCCTCAAATAGAGAAACTTTGGGTTTCAATGGGGAACTTGTCTTCCAACCTTTCTCCAGGACAGTATGGGAGCCAGGAAAGGGAAGTCTTCCCTGTAGGACAGGACAGGACCCCCTCCAAAACCTTCCAGAGCTCAAAGGTACACGGCACATGGTGAAATCTAATTTTCCTGCCCTCACCCAAATTGTTTCTCTCAGACCTCTGAGCAAGGGGTTGAAAAATCAGATTGGGATATTAAGGAGTTGTTTCCACACAGGCTAAGGGGACTGAATTGTATTATTACTCTTTTAAATATTTCAAGTTGCTTAACGTGACCCCTCATCGGCAGATTAAGTATTTATTTTCATTGCAGAAATTATCTGATAATTAAATTGGCAAAAACGATGACTTACTAGAAACCAAGATATTTAATCATTAATCAAATGAAAAGTCTGAGTCTGCATCGGTGTCCTTTTGGAAAGTGTGTTTGAAAATGTCAATTTACATTGCATTTTGGGGATGAAAACATCACCGATAAAAGTTCAACCCTGGCCGAGTTCCCGATAATGGCATGTTTAAAAATGCTCCCAGTTGTTCTAGTAATAACAACAATCAAAGATAAAGGTTAATATGTATAATGTTGAGATAATTGTGAAATAGTTTATTCCATTTCTTTTGCCTTATCAACTCCAGTTATCAACATCCAAGAAATTATCATATTCACTCTGGTATGCAAGGAGGAAAAAAAAGGGGGGGGGGGGGGGGGGACAAGACTTTCTCTAAGATGCTGTTTAGAAATAAAACCACATTGGGATCTCCAGAAACATGGAATTCCACATTTCTATTGGGAGGCAGAGTTTAGCCACATATGCACTAAACTTTCAACCAAGTTATCTGCATCTTTGGAGAAGCCTTAAGAAGAGAGTGCTAATACAAATATGCACCATGGGCACAAGAAATCAGTTAGGGTCAAGCAGAAACATCTGGTCTTTTTGAAGAGTCCTGTTAATTTGAAAGCACTGACCAAAGCAAGCTCAATTCCACCAAATCTATTTTGGCATGGCTCCAAAAACAGGATTTGTTGAAAGTACTTACTTCACCACAGATTGATCAGTAATGATATGCAGCTCCCACTACTGACATTTTGATACAACTAGTTTGTTTCTATCCCTAACATGCAAATTTGCCTTCTATGCCTTTATCCTACATTTGATATCGTCGTGGGTTTAATCTGTATGCCTTAGAACAGCGGTTCTCAACCTGTGGGTCGCGACCCCTTTGGCAGTCGAACAACCCTTTCACAGGGGTCGCCTAAGACCATCCTGCATATCAGATATTTACATTACGAGTCATAACAGTAGCAACATTACAGTTATGAAGTAGCAACAAAAATAATTTTATGGTTGGGTCACAACATGAGGAACTGTATTTAAAGGGCCAGAAGGTTGAGAACCACTGCCTTAGAATATGTTGGAGGAAGTGGTGGAAGGGGATTTAAATTGTCCACATCTGATCTTAGGAGAATGAATAATTTATACATTCACTTAAAGATTTTAACTATCATACAACTACCAAAGCATTGGACAATTTATTTATATGAGGTTACTTCATAGTACTCTATAAATAGAGTGTTCTCCCCTAACACACTAGAATTTCCCCAGCCTCTTACACAATAACTTCTGGAAGTTTTCAGACAACATGAGCCCTAGCCCAGAAATCAGAAAACCAAAGTTCAAGTCCCAGCTCTCCACTGACAAGCCTGCTGCCCTCAGGCACCCTGGCTGCTCAGAGCCCAGTTTTGTGCAGTTGGGAGAATGACTTGAGAACAAAGGAGGCTCTGCCAGTGGCATCATTACTAATATCCAACCTGCCTCAACTTCTAAGGTTGCCAATTTCATTTTTTGGTTGTTCATAAATCCTACAGCCATTTAATTAATCAGTTATTTTTAATGCAATGGATTAGGGCAAAAAGCAAGAATAACTTTTTTATTCACTCAGCAATATGCTTGAGGGCTTACTACCACGGACACGGACACTCGTAATAGGTAACATTTACAATGAATACTCTAAATGCCAGGTATAGGGTCAAGTGATTTTCAGTGTATTAGCTTATGGACACCTGCAACAATCCTGAGGATAGTAGCATTATTACCATCCCCAAATTAAAAATAAAAATATGGGCTCTGGAGCCACACAGCCCTGCTTGAGTTCTTGAGTTACTTGAGTTCTCTGTGCCTTCATTTCCCCATCTGTTATACATTACGCAATAAGCACTAGAGGTAATCAGGTGTTGGTGACTCAGATTAATCTCCTTGCTCAAGTCTGCGGCTGGGATTGGAACCCCGTGCTGTTGGACTCCCAAGTCTGAGCTCTAACAAGTAGAGCCAGACTCTCAAAAAATGAAAGATTACTGCCCAAATCTAAACATCAAGGCACTCACTAGCAAGGCATTTGAGACTGGCCGATAGCTTTCCCTCCTTTCACCAAAGGAGTCAGAAACTCAGGAACAAACACCTGGAAGTCACTAGCCTTAGGCTGGAGCTGGGGGCACCGGGCGCGGAGGTACTCACCGGCCCCGCCCCTTTAGTCTGTCACCGGACTGGCTCTCTCTTACTACTCTAAACCTCAACTTCCAGTTTTGGAAAACTTTATGCAGCTAAAGCCCATTCTCTGCTCTGTGCCTGCCAGATAATAGGCGAGGTGGGCATTTGGGGGGTAAGGGATAGGAAGGGGATTTGCCCTGCCCTTTCCTGCGCTGACATCTCCCCGATAAGCAGCTGCCCTGGCCTTTTGTCGCTAACTTGCATTTCCTCGAGGGTAACTTGGCAGACTTTTGACGTTACCCTGGCATCGCTCAGATTACACACTAGCCTTAAAAAAAAAAAAAAAGAGGCGAGCGCTGGCTGGCTAAGGAACTTGGACGGGGAGGGGTTCGCCACTGGTGAGTGAGTTTGTGGAGCTGGCAACAGTGAGAGCTCCGGCATCTGGGAGACCCTGAGGGTTCTGGGTGATCAGCCTACCCCACCTTCACTTCTCTCCCCCACCCTTCGCTGCCCCGGTATCGGACGCCAGGCGGTTCCCGGGGGTCGCCGGCCGCCCAGCGGTTAGAGCAGCCTGGTGGGGTGGGGCGGTGCCCGGCGCCGCCTCCCTCCGTACCTTCTCTCCCCGTGGAGCACGTAGGAGCTGCGGAAGAAGCCCAAGAGCTCATTCTCGATCAGGGCGTTGTAGATGATCTTCAGGTTGTAGTTCCTCTGCGCGTCCAGGGTCCTGTTCAGCACCACCACCAACACCTGGGTCTGCGGGTAGAGGAAGAAGCCGGCCACCGGGACAGCCCCGGCCACCCGGTCCTCGGCCACCTGCACCTTCTCCACGGCCACCCGGGAGGCGTGCAGCACGACGTAGCGGGTGGCGTTCCGGCACGCGATCTCCACGTTGACCTCGCCGGCGAAGGTGAAATTCTCCATGAAGGCGGTGAGCATCAGATTGTAGTGGAGCGGCTTGAGATGGCCCGACAAGCGCAGCTGCGTCCACGGCTGCCCGGGCTCCTGCTCTTCCTCCGACGGCGGCTGGGCGGGACGGGGGTCCCAGGGGGTGGCCTCCCCGCCCGCCTCCGGCGGCCAGGAGTCCCCCGCCCAGCTGGGTGGTGGGCGCCCCGGCAGAAACCCGGGGAGGCTCCCGGTTGCCACCCGCGCCGGGGGGAAAGCCGGGGGGGGCCCCCCGTTTTGGGCCCCCGGGCGCGGGGGTTGGCCCCCGAATTTCCTCGGAGAGCCAAAGTGGGGCGGGCCCCGCCAGGCATAAGGGACCCCCGAAGCGGGCCCCCGGATGAAAAGGGGAAAGCCAAAAACAAACCCCTTTTTCCCCCCGTGAATTGGGGCTTCGGGGGGGGGGGGGCCCCCCCCCCCCCAGGAGGCCCCCCCCAGGGGTCCGAAAGCCCCTCTTGCCCGCCGGGCCCGGAAGCGGGGGCCTTTTCCCCCCCATTGGTGGCCCCAAAAGGTGAAAGGTTTTTTTTTAAGCCCCCCCCC